TTCTTTTCTTCTTTTGATTGATGTTACCAAAAGTTTCACTATTCCAAACCTTGATGTTTTGCTTGATATGATTGAGGCTCTCCATTAGGATATCATATTTAACCCATTCTTCTTTAAGAAAATGATCAAAGTCAGGATTATCCATCCAGGCTTCCAGAAATCTAAAAGGTTTATTTTTATTACCATTGGGGTTGTTAATAGTATGTAGAAGAATAAGACAATGATCAGATCCAATTCGGTCAAGATGATGCACTCTAGTATCTGGTATAAATCTATCCACTTCATATTCATAATGCACCTATCAAGTCGTTGCCATATGTTACCTCGACGCCAAGTAAATTCATCCCCTTTTCTGTAATCTTGAATATGAAATCTTGGAAGTGTTTACTCCCTCTTCTGTAATGATTGCTTCCACTAATTCTCTCTTTGGGTATCAGAATGCAATTAAAATCACCTCCTAGAATCCAAAGTTCATTGTTGCAAGTCTTAAGTTTATCAAGGAGATCCCATAGCTTACACCGAATGTTTGGGTTGGGGCTGGCATAAACTACTATAAAGTAGTTCCAACAGTTACTGTTAATACATTTAAAACGAGCATGGGCATATTGATTGGAAATATTCAACATCTTAACCTCTACCGAATTATCCCAAAGCACCTAGATACCTCCACTGTTACCCTAAGCTTCGATATTGTAGGAGTTATTGTAACCCATATTATTAATGATTCCATCACAACAATGATCTTAGGCTTGTGAATAGTCACACAGTCTTTGAAATGTCTTCTAAAGGAGGGTTTGACTGCCCCCTGGGTGTTCCAAAACAGAATCTTCATTATTATTGAGATAGAGGATATATACTTTGTGACATCTCTTTATCCTTCTGTTCAACATCTTGAATCTGGCTCTGATCAATTTGCTCTACAATTTGGACCTGGTTAGTTGTAGGAGTAGTGTTATCAGGAGAGGCTAAATTTTATGAATTCATGGTGTTTTCTTGGATACATTCCGAAAGTAAAGGAATGTTAGGAATTATAGGAGTTTTAGATTTCCTGACTTTAAGTCTTTTTTTTGTAATGTGAGAAATTGGGTTTGGCTTCCTGCTGAAATTCCATCTAGAAGTTGGATTCTAGTTGTTATCATCTTCTTGAATGGTTATAGATGTATGTGTTCCATTTCCCAAAGCTAAATTGTGTTCACTGATTTGGGCGTCTTCCCTTGCCATGACTTGAATTCCTCCAATATTTAGTTCCATGGTATGATCTTTACCCACTATCATTTCTCTGTCAGTAAGAGGAACATCAATTAAGCTGTTAGTGTCTACTTCAAGGCTGATGGGAGCATATCTCTTCTGGGTTTGGTCAGCATTTTCTTCTGCCTGGGTTAATGTCTTTGTTTCTCGTTTTTTCTATATCTTTCATTCTGTTTTTCATCTGGTTCAATGATGTGTTCATTTTTGTAGCAGGTTTTTGTATATCAGCTTCCCTATTTATATGTAGGTTTTCTTTATTTCTATCCCTGGGTTCTTTCTCCAACGTTTCTTCATGGATTAGAGCATTCAACTTCTTTGTTTTTAATTTGAGATCTTTGATATCTACTATTTCTTCCTCTTGGTTGAACAATCATCCAAGGGCAAAAAGGGCTTTCTTTTCTATTATCAACATTCGATTGTTCTTCAATAACTTGGCTAGTGCTAGTAATTTCCATCTGTTTTCTTCTTAATTGGTTTGGTACGCTTCCTTTGCATGCCCATAGGTACCACATTTGAAGCAGATTTGTTGCAGACCTTCATATTCAATCTTTTGGATAAAATCGTCAATTCCCACGCATGGAGTAAGAGATTTATTCAGATAAATTACTACTGCAATTCTAGCAAATTTTCCTCTCTCTCCAACTTTGGTATCGTAATCAATTTTGATGACTCTTCTAATCGTATTCGTAATTGTCCTAATTAGCAATACTAAGGTAGACCAGGTAGGCACAACCAAGCGATGACTTGTGAAGGATGCTTTTTAGATGTGGTAAAGTTCCTCGACCATGGTTGAATAGTCAGGTAACTTCCATAAATCATCCATGAACCATCAGTGAGAACTCTCGTATAATCCTCAAGATTTTCAAATTTCACTAAGAAGTAGTCATTATCCAGATCTATCAAATTGAAATTGCCTATCGGTCTTCATAACGCATGAATCCTATTTATTAAAGCTTTATATCCTATCTTCTTTCCCAACAGTCTAGTGATAATAACTTGCTTCATGTTGCGATCAATCAAATCATGAATTCTCTTAGAGAAACTTATTTTAGGATAATCTCCAGAATTGTCCATGGTGACATCTCCTTCTTGGAAAACTATTTCTTCTTCAGGCATCTTGATGGGGGGATTCTTATTCAGAATCAATCCACTGGCAACCATAGCAGTATATGAAATTTTCTCAGGACTTTTGGGGCGTTCTTTGATTGTAGCAACATCATCTTGAGATTCATCTTCTGTTTGCATGTTTTTTGTTTTTTGTACTGCTTCATTTTCTTCAATTGCTATTTCTCGATTCTTTACTTTTTTTGTGGCTCTTTGTTCTTCTTAGACGCTATCGATATTCATCTTGGAGAGAACTTTTCCTAAATTGATGGAGTGAATCCCACGTTGTTTAAAAATAATGGGTGCATACAATGACTTCCTATAAGGTCACCCATCTTAGTACTACTCTAGCCCAAGCACGCATAACTGCGAAGTTCTGATGGGATCTGGTACATTAGTGCTGGTATGATCGCACCCACTTGTAGTCTTATTTAGTGATATACTGAAGCGTTGGGGTACCTCGAGTCAAATCCCTTAAAATTGGACTTTCCTACCCAAAATAGACTGTTGGTATCAATACTAACCATTCAGTGTCGATACTCATGACATAGTTTCGATACTTTATGTAAGTATCGATACTCAAAAGGTTACTGGAAAATAGGTCTCGATATCACGCTTGGGAGTCTCGAGACCGTGACCCCGATATCGATAACATTGCCTAGAAATTCATGAATTTACCCAGAAAATGGAGAACAATCTCTATATTAACCCTTCAGTATCGAGACCCAAGTTGCAGAGTGCATAAAATAAGCATGAAAAATCCCATTCTTCTAACCCATAGACCTTAATGAGGTCCCAATCATTATTAATGTTTTATGTGTGATATAAGGGTCATAAAGAAGGCTTTTAAACATGCTATAATTTTAAAACATATAATCTACCATAGAATTAACTCATCATGATTCAACTAAAGTCTTAAGCAAATGCTACATCTCTAATGACCCATAAAGAGTATAAAAGAGTTACAAGTGTGGTTACCTTGTTTCTTTGATGGCTAGAACTCTCCATAATCAACCGAAGGTTAACTTTTCCTTTCCTCTAGCTTTAGAGTTTTCTCCCACCTCTTTCACTAAGCAAAGGTAAGAAAAGGGATTATTGACTCAACTAAGTATTGATTACAATCTAAACACAATCCCTATAACTCAATTTCACCCAAAATGAGCTAGAATCCATTAATTTCTCCTAAACCTCTCAATACTTATTTTTGGCTCTATGGTTAAAAACTAGTGAAATGGAACTCAAAATGGAGCTAGAAAAGTAAGGATTAATAACCTTACCTTAGATTGATCCAACTAGGCTTGAATTCCTTTGAGTTTCTCACAAAGAAAGAAGAAGAGAGGAAGATGGGAAGATGGGAAGAGTATTTAGTGAGTTAAATAAGGGGTGGTTCTCGTAAAATCATAATATAGAGGTGGGTTTTTCAGCTTTCAAAACAACAAGAGGAAATTTGCACTTTTAACCCCTCTAAATTCTATTTCATAAAACACTCATCCCCAACATACAATTCTTGGGCCCAAACTCAAGCCCACAAACTCTAAACTTGGTCCAACTATTTAAATAAGGTCCTTCGAGCTCAAACTTTAGGTCTCGAGTTGACCCGAAATTCAGGGTGTTACTATTTTTTTCCAGCCTAATACAACTCTTTCAGTGTGGTGTTGCGCATGATCACCAATTATCATAACTTCATTAGATTCTTTCTTATTCGATGAGGCTACAGGACAATCAGATTCCGTGTCCGATGCGCCTAAAGGGTTGTCATAAACAACATGTACATCTCCACATATACCTTTCTTTAGAATATTTTGTTCCTCAATGATAGATGTTGAACCTGGCCGTTCAAAGGCCAGAAAGGCGCTAATACGTTGAATCTAACTTCAAATCATATATATATATATATATATATATATATATATATATATATAAACTCTTATGATAAAAGATAAAATATAAAATTTATTATATAAAATAAATTTAATATAACTTTATTTCTTAAATAGCTTTGTGATATCTAAAATTTTGGTTAGTGATCAAAATATGAACATTAAAGTTTAGTGGTCAAAGTATACATTTGAAAAAGTTTAGGGATCAAATATATAATTTTTAAAAGTTATATATTTTGGCCCATAAATGAATAGTTTATTACAAAATTGAAGTTTTTGTGGGAATCAGAATTTTGATTCGGGATTTGTATTAAAAACTATAAAATAGTAAATTTCTATAAGAATTCGGATAATTGAATTGAATCAGAATTTCACAAAAATTTGAAGAATGATAGAAAAAGGTTGAAAATATTATTTTCATAATTTAGAACAGTGAAATTTAACATGAATCAGTGAAATTAAGGTTGATTTTTCATATTAAGCCAAAATTGTGACTTTTAATGACTAAATTGCAATTTTAAAAAATTGCATGGGCAAAGGAGGAAATTCAATTTTTGTTGGTTCATATTTGACTTTGGAATATTAAATTGGAATATACTGTAATGGCATGGTTGAAATAATGAAGTTTCATTAATGGCAAAATGGTAAACTAGATTTAAATAAATTTTAAATTCATTTATAATAGGATAAAGCCATGTGTTTTATTTGATAATTTTGAAGAAAAATCAAGAAACTTTTAGCCATGTTCTTCTCCAAACCGTGGACACCATGAAGAGTAAGCAAGGTTTTTTTTCCCCTTTTTTAAGCTTATTCGATTGATTTTTTGGTTAAGCTATTAGATAGAAAATTAATATCCTTGAAATTCTCTATCATTTGGTATAAAAAGTTCATGGAAACATGTTTGGATAATGAATTTCATGATTTGTGTGGGTGAAGAACAAGTTGGATTTTGGTGATTTAAAGCTTGATTTTTATGTTATTGATGTTGTAGATTAATTTCCAAACTTATGTGATTAACAAAATTGATTAGAAATGCATATATAGGATTCAACCATGGCTAGGTTTTATGGAGATTGGTTGAATTTTGATTTAATTTGATGTTATAATGATGAGAATAGCATAAATTTAATCATAGGAGCTTGAATTCATACTTGAAATTGAATGAAAAATCTACCCTGGCTACTTTATGATATTCGGCCATGGGAAATTAAAGGGGGGAAATATTAAAAAATTTCCTATGGTCTGTAATTGATAATAGATGAATTCTACATGCTTTGGAAGTTGATTCAGATAAATTTGGAACATTAAGATAGAAAAAAATGACTTTTTTACAAGTTTTAGAAATTATGGGACATTGAAGTATAAATGCTCAATTATGGATGTACTATGCTGGAAATTATTAATTGAATGCTGATTTTTAAATTAGATTTTTGTTTTGGATCAAATTGCAAGAATTTAGAAAAGTTGATGGCTAATTCGACTTATGCTAGAAAGTTGGGAATGTAATTACAAGTTTTCAAATGTTAAAGTATTAGATTGAGTGAAGTGTTACAATGCTGGAAATTAATGTTTGGATGTTGAATTTGAAGTTGGAATGATGATTTGAGACCAAATTGCAAATTTGGTTAAGTTTAGTGGTTTATTCAAAAAGATTTGGAAATTTTGGGGTTTAAATGACAAGTTTGCAAATTTTATTGTATTAGATTTAATATATTATTTTAATAGTGGAAATTTTGGTATTAAGTTTGGATTGAATTAAATGGTGAATGACCATTTTGAATTACTTGGAAAATTTAGTATTAATTCTAAAAGAATTCATAAAAGGTGATTAAATTGTAAAGTTTATGAAAGTTGAGTAGTTGGCAATGAATATGAAAATGTAAAGGTTTTAAGTGTCATGTTGGGAATGTTGAAGTTTTTATTGAATAGTGAAGTGAAATTTCATCGAATAAGTATTGAATATTAATTATGGATTTTTTTGATTGGATTATGTTAGTAAAATACTAACATGTTTTGAATGATTGTGTTGTGTATGATTTTATCTAGACTACAAATTTTGTAATTGAAATCGAGTCGAAAGCGAAGGATCAAATAAGTGATTTAAAAAGAATATCGTCGTAAAAGGTTCAATAGTGAGGCAAAGTTAGTGCATTTATTTATTTAAATTATGTTTAATTGAGGAAGACTTGCGATAAGTCAACCTCGAATGATTTTAAAAGAAAAGTTTTAAATTAAATAATGGAATATTTCCATAATGTTTACCGAAATGATTTATGATTTGTTTTTTGGTATGAATTACTCAATATGTTTATATATGATATTTTCTGAAAATATATTTTAATGAATTCTCTAAAATGATTTTAGGGCATGAACTGCCAAAGTATTTTATATGATATCCATATTTTAATTATGGGTGATTTTGGGTAGCCCAATGCACTGGTTTTGATAAATGATTTTTGAAAGTGATACTGATTGGAAATATTGAATTTATAAATAATATGAATCAAAAGAAAAACCCATTGTATGTTGTATTAAGAGTTGTAAGTACAATTGGCATGCTCTGAAGTTGAGTAATTCTAATTCTAATTATGATATGGTAAATCCGTGTGCATTATATGATTGCACCTGGAGTGCATAACTCTATATATGATGATTGTACCTATATTTATATTTCTGATGATAGCACATGGAGTGCTTAGTGCGCACACTTATCTGAGTCACGTACCTTGCATTCTCTTAGTTATGCATTGGGCTATGAATATGAAAGATGTGCTATGAATATGAAAGATAAACTACGAATTTGAAAGATGAACTATGAATTTGAAAGATGAATATGAGTTTGAAAATGAGTTATGAATCTGAAATAAGTTACGAATCTAAAAATAAAAAAAATGTGATTTAATGGAAATGAATATTTTATTGATTATTGTGATATGACATTCGATTATCATAATTTTTTTTTGAATATTTGAGATGTTGATCTTGACAGGTTTTAAAGATAGGAAAAGGACTTATTAAAGTCGATTTGTGAATTTCAAAAGTTTTATACATTGAATTATATTTTTTGATTTTATTAAATTATTTTTATACCTTAGTTTGTTTATAATGCCTCACTAAGTTTTACTTAGTCTGTGATAATTTTCACGCGTAGGGAAAGAAAAGAATAAGGACGTGAAGTAAGGAGCACTGAGAGCATCTCTTCTTGGGAGATCATACCGACCTACAGTATCAGTAAGACATCTTTGACTTATTAGTGACATGTATATTATAAATGTTTTAGTTGCTCTGCTAGACTAGCCTAAAATGGTTGGTAGTAGATATAATTTAAAGGTTAATTGATTGATTTTAAAATTACGCGTGTTTAAGCAGTTTTATATATGTTGAGAAACAATATTGAACCGCTTAGTCGTTGTCTAAAATTGGATTGAAATTGGACGATAAAATATTATTTTATGTTTTTACGCAATTAATTAAATTGGTTCATATTGATAAATTAAAATTTTAAATAAAACAAAATTTTACGGTTTTCAAGTATAAAAAATCAGTGTGATATCTTTAACTTTTATTTAGATACATGTACGGGTAAGAATGTTACAAGCTTTCTATTATCATCCTATTCACAATTATTTTGTGTACTATTATTTTATCACAATAACATTTTCTATTAATAAACAAACCATTTGAACCAATCATAATGCACCACATTTCATATTTTTTTTTAAAAAGTCAGCTTAGAAAAAATTCTCATAAAAAGCAAACAAAATCTTAAATATATATATATATATATATATATATGTTTCTCCAAATTTTCAACTTTTATAATTGAATTTATAGTTTTCTAAAATAATAACTATAAATAATTTATTTTTTTTGAAAAAAATTAAAATATTTTTGCATTTTTATTAATTTTTTCTTTTTAAAGAGTTTATAAAATTAAAAAAAAACTATTAAATGAAAAACTGTAATATATATATATATATACAATTTTCAGTTTTGAACTTATATTTTTTTTCTTAAAAGTTTAATTTATGTTTAATTTATTTAAAAATTATAGTTCATAAAAGTATTGAAAAGGTAAAAAATATCATTAAAAAAACCTTTTGTAGTTTAATTGGCGAAAGAGTGCCAACGCCGTTGAAGTTGAACCAGTTTTAAGAGTCCTCGGTTTTATAAGCCAAAATTTTGTATGGCCAAAACCGGCAGCCGAGCTCCATTTGTTTGCATTTATTCTCCTCCCTCCAATACATCGCCTTCCCAAAAACAGAAGAAAAAGAAAAAGAAAAAGGCTTTGATTCTTTGATCATTCTCTGCAGCCACCAACACAAAAGGGGGGAAACAAACTTCAACCTCCCTTGTCCTTTCATGGGAACTCTTTCTCACGCCTGATGAGGAGTGGCATGGTTACATTAATAATAATGACAGACTGCTTCTTAAGGTAAATATATGCATATATATTTGAATTTCACTATTTTGAATCTGTTTCCTCATTGTATACAGGTTGCCGAATTGTGATATGGAGAATTGAAATTTTTACATGCTTATAGAGATTTAAGATCATCTTCAAAATTGAAAAATTCCATCTATAGAGTATGTATTTAAAATGAGAATTCCAAATTACCTGAAATGGAATAAGCAATTTTAGGAAAGATATCCAGGCTTTGCACCTTCAGAAGTAAACTATGGTTTGCCCATCTCTGTCGTTATATTTATGTCTTAAATCAAGAAAATGCTCGACAGAAATAATCTTGCAATGATTTTAGTTAATCATCCTCGTTTAGACTATATTGGTAAAAAAAATCTGATCTTTTAAATATTTCAGCTCATACATTACTCTTCTCCAACATCTGCTGGTGCAGAATGCATTGATCCTAACTGTACTTGGGTTGAACAATGGTAAGTATAAACTTATTAATAGGGTTTTGTGAACTCGTGCTTCACATTTTTCTTTACAAGCTATTTTATTTTAAATAATATGTAGTGATTATTGTTATAGTATTTTAATATTGTTTTCCAACTCTATTTTTGATTTAGTAGGTGTTATAACCATTTTTTTTTTTTGAAAAACAATTAAGTTTAAAAAATTTACGTGTAGTATTTAAAATATTATTGAAGAAAACTAAGTATTTTATGAATCAATAAATAATTAATTATAAAAGAATAAAAATGAATACCAATGCAAAAGGGAACATACGTGTAGTAAATAGAATATATTTACAAACAGGACAAACCAAAGTTCTCATAGATTTAAAACATGCCTTGTAAAGTGATTAAATAACAAAAGATAAATTACATAGCATTAATGCAAACATGGGAAAAGAATCGTAAAAAGGTATATAATTCTATACGTACATAAATATCTATTCTAAAATATAGGCATTAAAATAGAAAAACATATTTTACAGGAAATTAAAACTACTTAAAATAGGAAACATATACTAAAGATCAAGAATATTATCACATACACGGCAGCAGCAAGGACCAAAATAAATAAAATAAAAATTACATACCCTACTCACAAGATAATAAACTTCATTAGTGACTACAATAAAATAAATTAAAGATCATTAGCTATATTCGAATAAATGGCATATCAGAATGTGACTAAATTAAAATAAAATAAAAACAATATACTTAAATCAAAGAAATACCAAAACGGCAAGTCTAGTGACTAAAACATGAGAACACGACCAAGCTTGGGGGACCTAAAAGTGATTTTCCCCTGCAATAGATGACTAAGATGCAAAAAGTGCCAGAAACGTAATTATACCTTAATTTAGGGACCAGGATATAATACAACACCTAAGGTACAGGGACATATGGGTAATTAATTCATAATACAGTGACCTAAATGCAAAAACATCCTAGGGGACCTTAGCTTGATTTACTCAAAAAAGCCAAGGAGACATAATATCTCCTCTGTTGTTTCAGTTTACCCGTGAACTAACCCTAAAACCAAAACAATTTGACTCCTCTCTTCCTCTCCCCTTTTGTACGCAGTAGCCATCTCCAAGAGCCAAAGCTTTCTAAGCCGTCCACCGATTAGGTGGCCACCACCCAATATATCCGGCACCTCCTTTCGGCCGAGGGATGTTAAATAGCCGTGACTGGACTGAAAGTTTCCCCTTTTTCTGTTCTAAACCGAATCCCGAGAGCCTAAAACCCAAACCTACGCTGCAAACCGGTCAATCAAACGACTCAACGACAACCAAGACTCCGACGACTAAGGCTAAAGGTAAACGAATCCTTTGCCTCTCCCAGACGATTCCCTTGTCCCGACGAAACCCAACAGTAGCAAGGTAAACTCTGAATTCCTACTTTATTTTCTTATATTCGAATGAAAAGAGGATATCCATGCTCAGATCGAAAAAAATAGTAGCTAACCTTTGAAATTTTCGGATCTTTTTTTTATTCCAAAAAGTTGTTTTTTTACATAGTTTTTGTTCCCAGTCCCCAATCTCCTCTGCTAATTGATTTTTTTCGGGAGACTCCCTTGTTACATTGTTTTTGGGTGGGTTATATATCCATTACAGACTGAAATAAAATAAAAAATTATGAATGGCAGCTGAAGGTGTCGTGATTTGCGGGAGATTGTGACCTTGCTGCTGCAGCAGGGCTTGGTGCAGGTGTAGTAGGCGTGGAGGTGGAGTGCTGCAGTGGGATGTGGTGGCAACAGGATCTGGCTGTGGTGGCTACAGGTGAGTTGGTGGTGTTGCAGCAGGATGGGCACGTAGCAGGTATGGTTGTGTTGATGTAGGATTTGTTGCGTTCTTGTATATTTCTTTACCACCGCTTTTGTCTGATTTATGAAACTTTCAAGTTTATTTGGATGCTATTGATATTATATATAACATCATGACATATCATGTTAGGGTTCATCGTGCTGGGCCACGAGAGAAAATTTATTTCAAACCAGAAGAAGTGAAGGCTGCAATTGTTACTTGTGGTGGGCTTTGCCCTGGTCTTAATGATGTCATTACACAGGTCAGCACAAGTATTTAAATTTCAATATGCTGTTGGCTGGTTATAATTCCCTACAACAACTATGCTATGTTGTTTGATTTGGCTTAGTGCTTTCATTGTTGTAGTTATGTAATTGTTAACTGGTTTTTAATTTGAACTTCATGCTAAAATCGTAAGTTCATTTTTAGTACCTACTGACTCAGATTGAGGACATGGATTATATCTCTTATTTTTCACTTGGTAAATAAATTTCAGATCATGTACCAAAGTTTTTCTTCTACGTTAGATGCATTTGCACAAACTTCATGAATTTATGGTTTTGCTTTATGAAAGAAGGGTATTTACAATGAACTAATTGAAGTTTGGTAGTTAAATCCTCACTTTTGTCATAGTGTAGACTGTGAAGTAGGATGAAATACTTATGACTGGATCTTAGCACCATAAATATATATTCTTTAAATTGAAGTTTTTTGTTTAGTCTGAAATTTGAATGCTTTGGTGTTTATTAATCAATACATGCTTAAATTAATGAATTTGTGCAGATTGCCCTCACATTGGAAATATATGGTGTTAAAAACATTGTAGGGATTCCTTTTGGTTATTGTGGATTCTCTGACAAAGATTTGGCTGAAATGGCAATAAGTTGTGTTTCTTTCCTAACAATGATTTGTTAGAAAATATCTATGCTCCATCTAAGATTTTCTATTGTTAATTTGGATCGATTTTCAGCTATCGCGGATAGTAGTCCAAAATATACACCTTTCAGGTGAAACTTGTTGGGAGTTTCACGTGGAGGGCCCTCTGTCAGTGATATGTCATTAGTATGGAGGTACTCAAAACTCTTCATCTACTGTCTGATTAACTCAAATCTTCTTTAAGGAATTGTAAATTTTGATTCAAAATAATCAGACTCATGAGCCCAAGTATGTAGTGAAGTTCTGATATGCTTTCAAAATTGATGTCAGGAAAGTAGAATCAACATGTTTTTTGTGCTGGGTGGAAACGACACCCATGCTGGGGCCAATGCTATTCATAATTAGGTTCATATCAGATACCTATTATATAGTCTTCATCTTTAGCACTATTCATTAATATTGAACATGGTATTTCCTTTATTATTATCTTAAATTTGAAAATAGAACTATCAAAAACTAAGACAGTTTCTTTTTAATCCCTTGAGTCTAAGCTGTGTTTATTAATTTTGTTGAGTCATTTGATTTAACTTCATCAAGGCACTGGTCTTGGGTAACTGAAAGATTCGGATTTATTTTCCATTTTTGGTTTTTCTAAGCTATGTTTTTCATTTCAAAGTTATATCTATATATCGATCAGGGGGGATATTAGAGGAGTTCTGTGATTAAGAATCTCTAAGAGTTGCAAAAAATCTTTTGTCTCATATAGGGGCTGGCTATGTTTTGCTAAATATATATGTAATCGTTTTCAGTGCCGTAAAAGAAAATTAAAAGTGGTTGTAGTTGGCGTGCCAAAAACTATTGACAATGACATTCTGCTGATGGATAAAATCTTTGGTTTTGATACTGTTGTTGAAGAAGCACTACGGGCAATCAACTCTGCGTACATTGAGGTATATCAGCTTTGATTGTTAATGTTGATATAAAATAAGTATTCGACTTTTGAGTTCATGCATTATATGATACTTATCTACTTAAGTATATTTGCAAAAAAAATCCTTTGAGATCCAACTGGATTTATCATACAAAGAGGAACCGGTAAAGATTCTAGCATATGTAGTCAAATAAATAAGAAATAAGACGATTTCACTAGTAAAAATCCTTTGGTGGAACCATAAAATTGAGGAAGCAACTTGGGAACGAGAATAATATATGAAGAAAAAGTTTCCTTATTTATTTAATGCAAGAAAATTTTCTTTAAAAGGGGAGGAATTGTAATATCCCAAATTTTGATCAATGACTAAAATGTAATTTTTGAAAGTTTAGTGTCTAAAGTATAAACTTTGAAAAGTGTAGGGATCAAAATTGAAATTTTTAAAAGTTATATATTTTAGCCTGTAAATAAGTAGTCTGAAAAAAATATTTTAGTGGAAATCATATTTTCGGTACGAGATTTGTGTTAAAGGTTATAAAGTAGTAAAGTTCGGTATTGAAATCGAATAATCAGATCGACTTAAAATTTCACGAAAACGTGAAATATGCTAGATAAAGGTTGAATTTTTTTTTTCTATATATTTTGGAAAAGTGAAATTTAACATGGATCAATGGAATTAAGGTCGATTTTTCATATTAAGCCAAAATTTTGGAATTAGGTGACTATATTGCAACTTTAAAAAAATTCAAGGATAGAAGGATAAAATCAGAATTAAGATATTTTTATGGATATGATGAGGTAAGGGATGATGTCATAGAGTGGTAAAGTTGTAGTCACAGAATTTCATTAATGGCAAAAATAAAATTTTCTATTAAATTGAATAAAAATTAATTTTTATTATGTTTATGACATGTAATAAGATAATTATCATTAGAATAATCAAGAAAGATTGGACATTCTCAGCTTCTTTTCCAGGGGCCGAAAGTTCAGATTCTAAAAGTTAAGAATTTTTAGTTTGATTTTTAAAGTTATTTACTTGATTTTTGAGTTTAGCTATTATATAGATAATTAATCTACATGAAATTCTCCATCATTTGATACCAAAATTTCATTGTGAAAATAAATGTGATGAAAATTTATGATTTTGGGTTATGAAGAGCTAAGTGATTTTAAAGAATTGTTTATAAGAATTTATGAAAAACCTAAGGATGCAAATTAATGAAAACAGTTTAGATTTTGAATCTGACAGTGAATTTGAAAATTCACTAGAAATTTTATAAAAAAAAATTGAAGTTATTTTTATATATTTGTGTTCGTATAACAATATAGTTTTGTCTAAAACAAACGTAGATCAATTTCAAGGTATATACAAAAATATATAATTTTTTAACCGAAGAAAGGTTAGAAAATTGGGCAGCAGATTCTGCACAAAACAGATGCTGTCGATCAACTTTGAAAAATTATCATAAATTGTACAAAATGAACTAGAAACATATTCGAGTCTAGTTTTCAAGGAAGAAATAAAATTAAATTACAGTGTGTATATCAATACAGAATACTGATTCTTTAAAGGTAGTGCGAGTTTTTTGAATATGAAAATTTTAGAATTTAAGTGGAAATAGATTAGAAGTTGAAGAGTAATGTTTAAATGTTTGAGTATATTTTTGGATTCTTGGAATTGGATTTAAATAGAAAGAGACCATTTTGAAGAATCCAAAAATATACTCAAACATTTAAACATTACTTTTTAACTTCTAATTATTTCCACTTAAATTCTAAAATTTTCATATTCAGACAACTCGCATTACCTGTAAATAATCAGTATTCTTTATTGATATACATACTAGAATTTAATTCTTTTTTTCCGTTGAAAACTAGACTCGAATACGAATCTATCCATATAAATAACTCATTCTAGTTTATTTTGTACAATTTATGATAATTTTTCAAAGTTGATCGACATCATCTGTTTTGTGCAGAATCTGCTGCCCAGTTTTCTAACCTTTCTTCGGTTAAAAATTTATATCTTTTTGTATATACCTTTATATTGATCTCCGTCTGTTTTAAACAAAACTAAATTGATATACGAACACAAAAATATAAAAATAACCTCCAAATCATTTTTATAGAATTTCTGGTGAATTTTCAAACTCACTGCCAGATTTAAAATCTAAATTGTTTTAATTAATTTGCATCTTTAGATTTTTCATAAATTCTTACAAACAATTCTTTAAAATAACTTAATTCTTCATAACCCCAAATCATAAATTCTCATCACATATTTATCTTCACCATGAAATTTTGGTATCAAATGATAGATAATTTCATGTAGATTAATTCTTTATCTAATAGCTAAACTCAAAAATCAAGTAAATAACTTTAAAAATGAAACTAAAAATTCTTACCTTTTAGAATCTAAACTTTCAGCCACTGGAGAAGAAGCTGAAAATGTCCAATCTTTCTTGATTATTCTAATGATAATTATCTTAACACATGACATAAAATTGAATTTTTTATTCAATTTAATAGGAAATTCTATTTTTTTTCATTAATGAAACTCAATAACTACAATTTTGCTATGACATCATATCCATAAAAAAAATCTTAATTATGATTTTATACTTCTATCCTTGAAATTTTTGAAAGTTAAAATTTAGTCACCTAATTTCAAAATTTTGGCTTAACGTGAAAAATCGACCTTAATTCCAACGATCCATGTTAAATTTCACTTTTCCAAAATATATAAATAATATTTTCAACCTTTATCTAGCATCTTTCACATTTTTGTGAAATTTTGAGTTGATTTGATTATCCGATTTCAATATCGAACTTTACCGTTTTATAGCTTTTAACATAAATCTCGTACTGAAAATATGATTCTTACTAAAATATTTTTTCCCAGACTGTTCATTTACAGGTTAAAATATATAACTTTTAAAATTACAAATTTGGTCCCTACACTTTTAAAAGTTTATACTTTAGGTACTTAACTTTCAAAACTTATATTTTAGTCACTGGTCAAAATTTGGGGTATTACAGTTTTATCATGGTTACAGAATTCAGATCGTCGGTCCTTCTCAGCATTATTAAGCACATAGTGCTTACCATGGAATCAGTATTGTGAAATTGATGGGTCGTAGCAGTGGTTTCATAGCCATGCAATCATCCTTAGCTAGTGGACAAGTTTACATATGTTTGATTCCAGAGGTATTTTGCTGATTATTAGCAACAAATTGTGATAAACAATGCTCATATATCGTCACAAATTTGTTATCAAGTTTTGTATCTTTCTCAACATCAGTAGCTTCTCTTATGGGAATTATATATTATGTGAAATTCACTTGCTTTACTGCAGAGAAGATTGGTCTATAATCAGTTGGTACCTTTGCGAAGACGTTCCTTCTAAAATAATTTTTCGTTTGTTCTCTCAAGTTTATCATGCTTTGTTTGTGTAAATGTTTTGAGTATGATGAAATTCATAAGTAATTAGTTGAAGGTAAAAGAACCAATAGGTTAAACTTTATTTTCCTCTGTAAAATAGGTATTTTTGAAAATAGGGTTAAGGTGATATCTCTTTATATTTGTTTGAGAATTTTTTTACTGTGTTGTGTCCTTATCTGAAGAAAAAGCGTCATTTCTTAGAGATTTTCAAATTAGACAATATGATACACATGAAAATATGTTAGCTGAGCATTTTTTAGGTGTTGCTTTTTGGTGCAGAATCTCGTTGAAAAAACTAATGCTACTGATGCTTCTGGGAACATTGTACTTGGAGATATTGTCATACATATCCAACAAGAGGTATTTCATTCTCATTGTAGTTTCAACTATTTCTTACATTTGTTTGTTTGTAAACTCCTGGTAGAAGAAGTAAAGATCTACTAAGACATTTGAAAACTTTCTAAATTGTATTTACAGGAGACCGCGAAGCAAATCACATTCTTTGTTATTCCATTGAATGATATATTCGTTTTTCTTTGCATTTGATGAATGTTGAAAGATGACTCACGTGAAGCTTCATGCATAAGGGTGTTCTAGAAGCTAGTCTGTTAGTCTCGTAGTTAGTTTTGAATTCTCAACAACTCCTTAACAGCTAGGTGGTTAGGCATTTTTTAGTAGTTGAGTCGGTGTAATTGATTCCTATAAAAAGAGTGTTATAGATTGTACTTAAAGCAAGTTTTGAAGTTAAGTAAAGCATATGTTACCTTTATTCTTTCTGCATTATTTAATATGGTATCAGAGCTTTTGGTCCTAGAGTATTTTGCTAGTTGCGATGATGCTATTCGGTGATTCTTCCTCCTCGCAAGCCCGGATGTTTACTAATAAATGTGTAAATGTGGTGCTTGATGAGATGAACTTCCTCTTATTGAAGCATTAAGTTCTTACTGTTCACAGTCACCATCTTGAACGGTTGCTAAATGGTTCCATGCCAGTTCTGCAAGAGACGATGGCTGATGAGCATGGTGAAACGGTTATTAATGAGGCTTATGATGATTTTGTCGCACTAGACAATGCTCTAACGTCCTGGCTTCTATCCACGAACAATGCTCTGTTGTTACCACAGTTTGTTGGTGCCGAGTCAACCGCTGCTATTTGGAATACGGTTTTGTAGTTTTTTGCAAATCGATCAACAACCACGGTTATGAATTTACATTACAAACTTCAATCAATGAAGAAAGGTGATGATTATGTACGGGTTTATCTCACTCGTGTTAAAGAAATCTGCAACACTCTTGCTTCTTATGGAAGTCCGGTTTACCTCGGGAGTATTAGCCGTTCATGGCAGTGATCACTACTACGCGTGAAACTCTTTCGCTGGATCAAGTTTATTCTACGCTTGTTGATGTTGAAACACAGATTGACGGGTTTGACTCTCAACTTGAGAATCTTCCAATGAGTGATCATATTGCTTAAGGAAGATCGATGGGCAGTGATCACTACTACGCGTGAAACTCTTTCGCTGGATCAAGTTTATTCTACGCTTGTTGATGTTGAAACACAGATTGACGGGTTTG